TGGGAGCTTCCTGGAGACTTCTGGGATCTCTCGGGGCCTCTCGGGGTCACCTGGAGGCATATGCGTGGGGTCTCCGCGCAGCCGTGGGGCGGTCATGCTCAGCCCTGGAGCCTTCTTAGGGCGGTATCGGGCCCTCTCGGGTGTCCGTAGGCCGTCTTGGGCCCCTGGGCCCCAGGTCTTTCTCAATGACCAGCTCTTCGGCCAAAGCGGTTCTCTTGACCGCCCCAGGGCCCGCGGAGGACCCCCGGGCTCCCGAGGCTGGCGAAACATGTCAAGGAGTCAAGTCGAAGAGCCCGAAACAATAGAAACGCAATCTCTCTGAAGCCCGTGCGGATATCGACGGCGAGCGAGGGGGGTAATGAGAAGGGGAAGGCCTTCTCAGAAGGCGGCGGGGCTTCTCAGAAGCCCTCGCGCCTTCTGAGAGGTTGTCCATGTTTTCGGGGAAGGCTTCGTAAATTTCGAAGGAGGCCAGGGGACTTTCGAGCCATCTCAGAAGGCCCGCCCCGTCTCACTTCCACCCTCTCCTCGAGTATGGGATGCATTGCACATGATAGACAAGAACAATCGCAAGATGCTGGACGGATCGCCGATATAGATCGCCTGTGCACTCTGTCCGCCTGAGGCCCACCATCGAACATGCATGTGGTATGTGGTATGCACGTGGTACAATGGAGACCCATTCCAAGAACCACCCTGCTTGCCTCCAGGGTGCCCTGGGATTCTTGGGTTTCGATGAACTTGCCATCGAAAGCGTGACGTTCCCACACCAAAAATCAATGGACGTCCCGGGGTCTCAGGGCTGGGTTTCTGATGGAAGGAATCTTGTGGTCGGGCCCCTATGTATGATCGGGCCGAACGAAAAGGGGGGGATTGGGAAAGGGGGGGTTACGAAATCTGCTGCATGCAGCTGGTTTCGGCCCCGCCGCTGGGCCCATCCTTCGATACATTGGCGCCACCCGGCGCCGGGAGGCGCCGGGAAAGAAAATCAGCTACGTGAGCTGATTCTCAACCCCCCTTTGCTATCCCCCCCTTTCGCCCGGCCCGATCTGAGGTACCCCCCCTGGGCTCGCCGCCGAGGATTTCTCTGGTCGGCTCTGCCCCCCCCCCCGGCGGCGCTTCCGGCGTCGCCCCTGGCACGCCGGAGGTGCCCCCAGGGGAGGGAGGCCCAGCGCCGATCCCAGGGAATCTGCGCGTCCTTCCCTTTTGGCTAGGCCCTCTCCTCCTCCTCCTCCTCCTCCACCTCCTCCTCCTCCTCCTCCTCCTCCTCCTCCCTCCCTCCATCCCTCCCTCCCTCCCTCCCCCTCCCCTCCCTCCCCTCCCCCCTCCCTCCCCATCCCCTCCCTCCCTCCCTCCCTCCCTCCCTCCCCTCCTCCCCACCCCCTCCCTCCCTCCCCCTCACTCTCCCTCCTCCCTCACCTCCTCCTCCTCCTCCTCCTCCTCCTCCTCCTCCTCCTCCTCCTCTCCTCCTCCTCCTCCTCCTCCTCCTCCTCCTCCTCCTCCTCCTCCTCCCCCCCCATTCTCCTCCTCCCCCACGCAAGTGGCCGCAGGCTCGGAGCTCTCGCGCCCTTTCGTGCCGCGCTTTGAGAGGCCACCTCTGGCGACCCAAGTGTCCTGCGACTGCCCGGAGGGGGCCCGACGCTCGCCCGGGACCCGAGGCGCGGCAAGGCACATGGCGCGCCCCCAGAAACCCCCCTCGCGTTGTGAAAGTCATCGGGGGTGGACAGGCCTCCTACCCTGACACGTCGATTAGCGAACTGGGCGTTTTCGGTTCGCGAGAGGGCGTCGCGGGCGTCATGTTTGCGGGTCCAGGTCCGTCGGTTTCGGTCCTAGGTTCCTAGGCTGTTTTCACTAAGGGTGGTTTACGAAAGGGAGGCTTGTCCACCGCCGACACGACGGGAGGTTTTTCACTGTTTTCGGCCTCCAGGGCCCTCACCGGGCCCCAGGACCGTCAAAAAACGACCCAGGATGAAAAACCGGTCCCGGGGAAGGGGTCCAGACCTTGGGGGTCGACGTTGAGAGAAAATCACGACGTCGGGGGTCTGAGCCCCCGTGCCCAGTTCCCAGAATTCCGACGTCTTGATTTTGTTGGCACAACGTGGTCCCTCGAGGTCTGGACCCCTTCCCTGGGTGCCAGCGTTGCATCCCGATGGGTTTTGCGGTGAGGTCTTCGGGGAGTCCGAGCACATCGCACCGTTTCATGACCTCAGGCTGTTGATGATCCCGGGGCACGGCGAGGGCCCCCAGAGGCCGAGCAATGCCCAAAACTTTGCGTCGCGTGTTTTTGCTTCGTTTCGCAGCGCGAGGAGGTCTGGCTTGCTGTCATTGCTTCCTTGAGGTCCGCCTCGACTCTGGCCAGGAGGTGGCCGTGAAGGCCGGCAACCTGTCACTGGTGGCTCCGCCCTCGGAGGCCCGCGCCTCCCCGCAGGAGCTCGCCTTACAGGCCGCGCTGGCGCAGGCCAAGGCGGAAGCGGGGTCGAGCATATGAGCCATTCCGAAAAAGTTGGCGAGCGTTGATCCCAAATAGTTTCGCCTGAGACATCCGCAAATTTTAATCCGCCGGCTCACCTCAACCTCGATTTTCATCGGGAAAAAATCCGCCGGCCCACCTCACTTGAGGCACCGTCGACAGGTTTACCAACTAAAAGAGAACCCTGGGCCGGCGCCATTTCCGGGAAAAGTTGGCGAGCGTTGAGCCCAAATAGCCAGAGACTGCAATCTGGGGGTGTAATGCGCATTGCGTGGTGCACGCTATGTGCTGCAAGTTGCGCGGTGCAGTCTCCGCGGTTCAAGAAGAAGGCGGCAACGAAGCGCCAACGGGCACAGAGCCACCCAGCGCACGAGGCGGCGACGAGGCAGCAACGGGCGGCGACGTCCCCGTGAACAGAAGGTACCCACACATTCGCGGAACAAAACACAGTCAAGCAGAACATATCTAATACGTAGCACCCCGCAATTGCGGATAAGAGTGAGGGGGCGGGCGCGGGCGACGCGGGCGTCGAGCCGGCGGACCTCGTGGCCCTCACCTTCCTTGTCGATGGCGCCCTCCTCCTCCTCCTCTTCCTCCTCTTCCTCCTCCTCCTCCTCCTCCTCGTCCTCCTCCTCCCCCTCCTTCTCCTCCTCCTCCTCCTCCTCCTGCTCCTCCTCCTCCTCTTCCTCGTCCGCGTCCTAGTCCTTATCGTCGTCGTCGTCGTCGTCGTCCGCCTCCTCCGAATTGCAGCAGTCAACTGGACTGCCAATGAACGTGTTTAGACACAGCCCCGCCGCAGGCGCCGATGTGCTGTTGTAGAGTCAACGTGGGCCTGATCGGGGGAATGGCACGAGGGCGCTTTCCCAAACCAATGCGGGCAAGACCGCCGCAGGCGCCGATTTGCGTGCTCTGAGAAGTTCAGCGCGGGGGGGATCGCTGGTGGGCCACCCGGAGGGAATGCAAAAACAGCCCGCCGCAGGCGCCGAACTTTTGTTTTGTTCTGTGAACGTAGTTTTGGTCGCGGGTGGGTCGCGGGCTCTCCATCTCCACCTGGAAGGAACTCGAAAACAGCCCGCCGAAGGCGTCGAAAAAAAAAATGTACACTGGACGCGGTTTGGGTCGCAGGTTTTCCACCGGGAACGAATGCAAGAGAAACCCGCCGCAGGCGCCGAAGTTTTCGTTTGTTCTGTGAACGTAGTTTGGGTCGCGGGTGGGTCGCGGGCTTTCCACCCCCACCTGGGAGGAATTCAAAAGCAGCTCGCCGCAGGCGTTGAAAGTTTTGATTTGTACAGTGAACGCGGTTTGGGTCGCAGGTGGGACGCAGGTGAACGAATACAAAAGAAGCCCGCCGCAGGCGCCGAAAATTTTGGGTGGGTCGCGGGTTGGGTCGCGGGTAGGTCGCGGCGGGTCGGGGGTCGCGGGTGGTCGCGGGTCGGGTGGGTCGCGGTGGGTCGCGGTGGGTCGCGGATGGGTCCCGGTGGGTCGCGGGTGGTCGCCGGGGGGTCTCGGGGTGGGTCGCGGGCAGGTCGCGGGGTGGGTCGCGGGTGGGTCGCGGGTGGGTCGCAGGGGGGTCGCGGGGTGGGTCGCGGGCGCGTCGCGGGGTGGGTCGCGGGTGGGTCGCGGGTGGGTCGCGGGGTGGGTCGCAGGTGGGTCGCGGGGCGGGTCGCGGGTGGGACGACGACAACAACAAATAATAAACAACAAACAACACTGAGCAAACAACAATCAACACATTACAATCAACAAACAAACAACAAAGAAACAGCAAACAAACAACAAACAAGCAACAAAGAACACCACAAACAAGCAACAAACAACAAACAACAAACATCAAACCACACACAACAACCAACAACAAGACCAACAACAAAAACAACAACAACAACAACAACAACAACAACAACAACAACAACAACAACAACAACAACAATAACAACAACAACAACAACAACCACAACAACAACAACATTATCAACAACAACAACAACAACAACAACAACAACCATCACAACAACAGCAACAACACAACAACAACATCAACATCAACATCAACATCATCATCAACAACAAGAACCCGCATCGCGGAATTCCATTTCAGCCACGCACTCGGGACAGTGAATGACCGTTCGGTTCAGCCCCCTCACTCTGATGTATAATATAAATAGATACCGCCCCCCCGCCCCGGCCCCGGGTCCCACATCTCCCCGGAACATCTCGGGGACGTTCCCGGTACCGTTCCCCCGGCCATTCCGTCCGGGGAGCCTTCACAGCGCCCCAGGAGGGCCCAAGACGCCTCCCAGGAGGTCCAAGACGCTCCCAGGCAGCCCAAGTCAGCCTTCCGACGGCTCTCGAGGATCCCAGGTGGCCCCCAAGAGACTCCAAGAGACCCCAAGAGAGATCCGAGAGGCGTCCCGGGACGGCCCCCAAGAGGCCAAAATCGTCGATTTATATTGTTTTTTCTAATGTGTTTGGCTTCTCGCGTTTTCGAGCATCCAATGGTCCAAGAGCGCCGAAGAGCCGCCCAAGACCGCCCAAGAGACCCCCAGGACGGCCCCAAGACGGGCCAAGAAGGCTCCCAGATTGCCGAAGAGGCGCCCAGGACATCCCCAGACCATTCCAGAACAGGCCCAAGAGCGGGAGCAGGAGGCTTCCAGAGACCTCCGAGAGGCCTCCGGGACCCCCCAGAGGCCCCCAACACACCTCCGACCCTTGAGAGGCCCCAAAAAGACCCCGACGAGGCTCCAAGAACAGCCCAAGAGAGCTGCGAGAGCCGTCCCAAGAGAGCCCAAAGAGGGTAAAGTCGTTGATCTCCAATAGGTTTTCTAATTTTTTCGCCTTCTCACTTTCCCGCTTCCAACCCTCGAAGATCGAGGATTTTGAAAAACAGAAACAAGGGAATTCCCTGAATTCCCTCTCTTTTTTCAAAGTGGGACTCCTACTCGGAGGTCCCACACACACCCTGACATCTGGCCGGTACTGCGCCTCCCGGCTGCCCGGGGGGCCCCCAAGACGCCCAAGGACAGCCCAAGACGACCCCAAGGAGCCCCCAGAACGTAAAGAACGGCCCAACGCGCTCCCGCGCAGCCCGAGACACCCTTCCGACGGCTCTCCAGGCCTCCAGGAGGCTTCCAGAACCCCTAGGGGGTCCGGAAGATCCGACACCTCTGAGGGGCCCGACTAACACAAAAAACAGCGCCGAACAGCGCCGAGGAACTGGAAAAAAGTAGAATTCCCACAACTCCTTTTTTTCAAGTTTGGCCCCTGGTCTACTCTTGCACAACAGACCACAATTCAAACCCCCCTCACCTCACAAAAAAGAACCCGGGAAGCTTTTGAGGGCCCCAAATCGTTGAATACCTAAAGGAACTTAATTATTTCTGCGTTTCCGCACATACCTTTCTATACGATTCCAAGGCTTGCGCAGGGCCTCCAAGGGAGTACCTGAACGCAAGAAGCGACCAAAGTGAGATGACACGAGTTAGCCTATCAAGCCTAGCTAGAACTTGAGCGCGCGCGAAGCGCGCGCGATGGTTCTAGTACACATATATGTATAAAGAGATATCCTTGGGAGGGAAGCGGGCACAACCGCCTCTACTCGTCGGGAGGACGGATAGTTACCCTGCTTCAGGACGCGGAGGCATTTCATTTGTCATTCCGTTGCGGCCTGACCTCGGCACTCCTTGGCAGAGTCCATTACCTTGCTCTGCGAGTACACGCCACTTCCGATACACCAGACTATTGAGCCGTTGGCCCAAAGACGGTGGGCGAGGTGGGACCTCGCGAGACGGGGGCCCCAAGGCAACGCAGCTGCATCGGCCAAGAGCGCGCTGGCCGTCCTTGCCCGCTAATCCGAGATCCCCACCCACCCGGAACTCGCGAAACTTCGCTTGCATATAAAATGCCTTGGAGCTCGGGGGCTCCGAATTGACAAGGGATCGTTTCCACATCCACTTCAGCACATCTGTCATGCACCTTGCCAGGAAGGGTACCTGATCGCCCTCGTCCTCGATGTTCGTGGTCACCGTCATCCTCTCTTCGTCCTTGTCAATTTTTCTGTGTGGTCATCGTCATCCTCTTCGTCCTTCTGATCTTTCTCGCCGTTCATGTCCTCATTATTTTGTTTACACCTGCGAAGTAAAACAGTTTCGTCGTCGTTGTTGTTGCCGTCGCGACAGGATGGCGGATTTCATAATCGTTGTCGCCATGGGACGGTTGATTTAGACGGACGTATGGGGTCCTGTCCGTGTTCATGTGGAGAGGGCTCAAGTGTGGAATCCCTTTTGTTGTCGCGTGGTTCGGTTTCAGGCAATTGTTTTCTGATAGAGGTTTTGCCATTCACACCGTAATATACTATCTGCACGTCCTTTCCCGCAGCGTTGCTTGAGCGAGGGGCGCTGTTTGGGGGGGCCGATGCGTTCCTCCCTGACGTTCCTCCCGATTGTCCTGTCTTCCGGGGGCCGGCAGGAAACCCCGGCCTCCTGACATCGACCGGGTCACGTTGTCGATGGACGCAGTTGTTCTGGCCAAGTTGCCAGGAAGCCCCGGCCTTCTGGGGCGCAGAAAATCGGAGGCGGCCAAGAGGGTGGTGACGACAAGGGGGGGGTGTATATCATAGCGGGGGCCATGATATCTCCGCAGATTTGATGGCGCCTCTTCTTCTTCTTCTTCTTCTTATTCTTCTTCTTCTTCTTCTTCTTTCAATGCGTCCCCAGCCTTAAATCGGGCCTGTCCCTCTGCATTGGGAATATTCAAGAATAGTGAAAAAATAGTGGGGGACGATTTTTTTACAAAGTTTCCCCATTCGGGGGGCATTTTGTAAGTATTTTTAATTTTTCGTCGAAAATCCCCCTGTAAGGGGACAGGCCCGACTTAACCCCAGCCCCCTTTCCCCCTGGGCCGCGCACATGCCGTGGGCCATGATTTGAGCCCCCCCCCTTGGCCGCCCCTGAGAAAAGGAGGGGGGGAATGGGAGACGGAGAAGGAACGCGAAAAGGAGGAGGAGGAGCGGGATGCGTTTCGGTAATTGGTGCATT